ATTTTCAGATTAAATGCTTATTATTATATTAAAAGTTGCGAATAATAATTATATTTTTCTATACATATGTGTTGTAACTATTATCACTTTTTGATGACGGGATGCTAGATTTGACCCCCCAAGTAGCCTCTGATCCATACACATTTAATCTTTTGTTACAATTTTCATTGAATTAATGTTTTTTTCGAAGCAAAACAACAATTAATTTTATTAAGCACTTTAATTTTAATTAATTAACTTCTTAGTTATTAGCTTTTCAGCTAAGTATGTCAAACAGATCCTAAGTAACAACATTATATTAATCTTTTAAAATTAATAATTGTGGAAAGTTCCAACAAGATTTCAGTATGGTAGACAAGTCAAATTCTTTAACAAGCAAACGACGAAGATGATTGATAATGACCAGAAAGAAATGATGAAATGGGTGGAGCATGACTTTTATACTTAAAGATTTTGAATTTAACTTTAATTTTATCAATATTGTTTCGTTCATAATTTTATTATTATTATTATTATTATTATTATTATTATTATTATTATTATTATTATTATTATTATAGTTTGCCTCTCATATAAGTTTAACATAGCCTAGCTATTACACGAGTATAATGTATTTTAGATATATTTTTTAATAATGACTACAAAATTCCCTTTTCGTTCATTCAAATAGTGACTACAAATTTCCCCTTTCAAACATGTCACAATATGCCCCAAGTGAACCCGTGACGGCAAGAATTCACATTCCGTAATTAATTTGAGTAGATCGGAAAACAACGGAACCAGTTTTCAAATTCGTACAAGAATTATCAAACCGCCCATTGTACCAATTAATAGACTTCCCTTCCCTTCCCTCCCCCACACACCCTTTTTATTTTTCTTTTTTCTTTTTTAAAAATCCAGATTTTCTGATTTATCATATTATATTGGGAATGTTTGTAAATAGATGTTAGTTGATTGAGTTAGTGAGTTTGACTACTTGATAACACTAGCTGATTGTAGAAAGATGTTTGATAAATTAGTTATTGGTTGATAGCTTATTACATGCAAGATGACTTTCTCAAAAAAGATCAATAAAGCTGCTTTGAGCACCCTTTTGAATTTTAGTGTTTTAGAGAAATAAGTTGTTACAAAATGCTATTAATCAAACACTCGTATTGGCTGTTAAACCAAATCAAACACTAAGGGGTTGTTTACTAACTGAAAATTTCTAGAAATTTTCGGAAACTGAAAAATAGAAAACATAAAACATGTTTACTAACACAGTTTTCCATTTTGAAAATTGAAAATAATTTCTGAAAATTTCTGGAAAACTGAAACACACATAAAAGTTGTTTTCAAAATGAAAAACAGAATCATCTATCATCTATTTAGTTATATATCACTATAACCACATTACTATGATTACATTCATTATCATCTTATTTTACATATCACTATCTTCTATCTTTTCTACTTACTTATTTAAACTTAATTTATTTGCTTACACTTTAAAGCTAGATATTATTTACATGATCAAAATTAAGAATTAAACTATATATAATGTTTTAGATTTTGATCGAACTCAATTGATTATTAATTTGAATATTTTTAATTATGTTACATCATAATACAAGTTCAGTCCAGATATCGGATATTGAAATCTCACATATATTAGAATTCAAAGTAATATTTATATATTCATATACATGTCATTCAAATGAATATATCCAAAAAAATATTTTAAATATTAGCTCAAAAAATATTAATATTATCTAAATTAAATTTTAGGTGAAAAATTAGAAAATAAAGAACAATTTTCTAAACAGAAAACAGAGAATAGAAAACAGGGTGAAAACTGAAAAATTAAAAAATAAAAAATAGAGAACAATTTTTTTATTAGTAAACGGACCCTAATAGTTGTTAAACAAGTCAAAATTGACTGATAAACTAATAACTATATATGTTACTAAACAGGGCCAATAATATTATCTCATCAATCCGTCCCTAAGTTCTACACACAAGGAGCCTAATTAATTCAAATCTGAATCTAAACATTCAATGTTCGACCCAAACAGTACTAGTAATCAAACTTCTAACCTGTTAATCAAAGCAAAATTTAAGTGAGAATTTTCATCCACTATACCATCGCTCATGGGTGGGGCATTAATAGACTTTTCTCCAGAGTCTTAACGATTGAGAAGCAAATAAACAGTGCACGAAGCATTAATTAGATTTTTGTTTGGTGATGCAGAGGAAAGAGTAGTACAACACATTCATTTAGGGTTGGAGTGTGAAACAGGCAATTTACAGTGTCTGTACGTTAGCTGCCATTACTACTACATTGACTGAGGTTTCATGTTATGTGTCTCTAAATCTAATGTTCTTATCATCATTATATCTTTTGGCCGGTAAGATCCATTTTCGATCGTGCAGCTATATTAATCTATTTTCTTTCAATTCGCTCGTTTTTTTTTTCTTAGTTATTAATGCAAATTATTTAGTGAGAATTAATGGATAATTAAGATTGATATATGTTCAAAACATTTTGGGGTGTTTCGTAAATAACTGTTAACTTATTGGATTAGTGAGTTTGACTAATTGATAACATTAGCTGGTTGTAGAAAGATGTTTGGTAAATTAGTTGTTAGCTGATAGCTGATTACATGCCAAATGCCTTTCTCAAAAAGTTGATCGAAAAAACTGTTTTGAGCAGATTTTTGAATTTTAACTTTTTGGAACAATAAGCTGTTACAAAAAACTAATTAATCAAACACTCCCTGTTTGGTAAATGGATGTTAGTTGTTAGTTGTTAACTAATTGGGTTAATTACAGGGTATAACTAGTTGATAACATTACTGATTGTAGGAAGGTGTTTGGTGAATTAGCTGTTAGTATTAGGAAGTTAGTATCTGTTGCTAGTTAGTGCTATTCTTTAGGCTCTATTCCTAATAATGTGTAACTCTCTGTGTATATAAACCATCATGTACGCTATTCCAATATCAATGCAAAATCTCTCTTGAAAGTTGATCACTCAATTGTTAGCTGTTAGCTTTTTGGTATAATTTTTTTTCTCAAAAAGCTAATTGAAAAAGCTGCTTTGATCAGCTTTTTGAATTTTAACATTTTGGAGTTGATTTTTTAACCAAGTTAAACAATTGTAGTGGTCAAATAAGCCAAAATTGGCTGATAGGCTAATATTTTACCAAACATGACCATTAACTGTTTAACCAAGTCAAACAACTAATAATGGTCAAACAAACCAAATTGACCGATAAGCTAACTATGTTACCAAACAGGGTCAATTATTGTTTTCTACACTTGTAATATTCTATCATAAAAATAAAATTGATTATTTTTTTCATATATTTATATCTGTTTATTATTGCAACAGCAACTTTATTAAACAGTACTTAGACTTACACATTATTAAGTGATTTTTCACAATTTTTGAAAAAAATAATAATAATAACTGATGATTTGTAAGAGAGGAGAGAGAATTTTTTTTTTTTTTTTTTTGGGGTGGGGTGGGGTGGGGGGGGGGGTGGTGGTGAGGGGGCTAGATACTCAATTTCGCATAGTTTTTCTGAGAAAAAAAAAAAAGACGATCGTGGTGTTTATTAGCCAATGTACGCGCCTAGTGGGCACATCAGGATCCTAACTTTTTTTTTTTTTTTTTTTTTTTTTTTTTTTTTGCTATAACTTGACAAATGCCGGACAAAAAACTCTTAAAAAAACACAAACTTTTGTGGATGCTCTTAGGAGCAATAAAACACCTAACTTTTAACAACAAATAAAAAAAGTACAAGAAGTTAATAAAAAGATTGAGTATATTTAACTAGGTTATATCTATAAATGAGTTTGCCTTATGGATTAGTATATGATTTAACAATTGCAGAAATTTTACTTTATCAATAACCGTATATTGTATTTATGAAATCACAATGTTTGAATGAAAAATACTCAAAATTATCAAGTTTAATTCAACATCCTAGCTAGGAAAATTGAAAGTTAATTAGTTGAACACTAAAGTCCAAAAAAAAGTCTTAAATTAGAACTAAATATCAAGACGAGTTAGTTGCCTCTTGCCATTTTAAAAGCACTTTTCTAAAAAAGTTAAAGCTATTTTGGTCAAAATATTTTTATTGCAACAAAATTTGTACGTATATCTATATGACATACACATATAGATATCATAAGTAAACACATGTACATTTGAAGGTCCACCTAAGCTAGTACTAATTTGCTTGTATTGACTTAGCTAGCTGGTATTAATTGATCGAGATTCATGTAATTTATTTTTATTTTTTAAATTCTTATAGCAAAAAAACAAGGAATAAAAAAATGAAGTTTATATAGTACTATAGTAGTAGTAGTAAATTAGGTTACATTATTGTAGATGGCCGACATGGCCATATATGGGATCCATCGTAATATGCAAATATACTAACGAACCCATACTCTGTCCGTTGTATAACTTGTATTTACTATAAATTTGATTTAACCTAAAGGGTAGCTCAAGTGGCAAAGGAGCTTCTTTGTGGGGAGATCCTAGCTAGGGTTAGTTCGAATTTGATTCCCACAAGTGACAGTTCCTATTGGGCCAGCTCTCATTCCTCCCAGAGCGAACATGGATTAGTAGGGTGGATCCTCGGGAGAAAAACTCATTCCTTATGGAAAGTAATAGGGATACCATCAAAAACAATCTTTTCACACCCCAGATTAATGACAATGCTAAGAAAATAACTGACGAAGAACTTTGACTATTAGTCTATTACAATTTTAGTTCGAAACCAATGTCTATGCAAAAATGTCATTGGAAGAGCTGCTATAAATACAATTCGATTGAAATTCGACTAAATCAGTCTTATTATGATAGATAAATTGAAATTTATTGGTTTTTGGTTGCAATGAAATAAAATCGTTAGCAAACCCTAAAACCCAAGGTAAATATAATATAATATATATATATATATATATATATATATATATATATATATATATATATATATAGCTTTTGAATTGGTTACTGGTGGATAGATATATCTATATAGCTAGCTACTTTAATTTATATATATTTAGAACAAGAGTTGTTGAGTTGTAAAAGAAGAGCTCTCTTCTACCCATTGGTCTGCAAGAATCTTCTCGAGCTCACATGGCCTACAAGGAACCATGACTGCGCCTTGATGGTGGAACCCATACTCCTCCGCAGCTTGTTCCAACAGCTTTAAGAAAGAAGGGTTCGTTAAACAACTGAGCGGTACGATGAATCTCTTGAGCTTGTCGTCATCGTCCACCGCCATTACCGCGAAATGCCCTTCTTTAACGTCATTCGGGACATCATCGGACTCCTCGAAACGATTCGCCGCCGATGATGACCTCTTGCTGCCCATTAGGAAACTGATCTTCTGAAGCTTTTCCACCATTATCTTCAGCCTCGTCGCATTCTTCTTTTGGCCATTTTCCCTAGACGACGACTTTGCCATGGCTTTTGGTTTTGTGATATATGAATTGAAGTGAAGTTGTATATGATGAGGATGCTAAGGTGGGATATGTATATATAGAGTGTTTGTAATAGTGAAGGGGGATGGGGTCAAGTGTAAGATTAGAGTGAAATGGGTGTTAATACAAGAGGAGACCATTGCATGTGGGTGAGGTTTCATTCTATCCTTGAAACGTCCCTTTTGATTATTATTAGCAAATAAACCATTAGAAATTAAAACCTCTTAATGATTGACTAATTAAGTGATAATTTCTCAACAATAATTTTTTTAGGTTATGTTGAAATCTTAAGTAAATACTCAAAAAAAAAAAAAACATTTTATTTAGAGATTTTGTGCGATGGAAAAGTGGATAATTATAAATGTAAAAATCTTTTTAAGCAAGAATGAAACTAAGTATGCAAATAAAGCTAAGTGCAATATGATAAAGTGAGAAAAATTTATAGTGGTTTAAGGATTGTGTAATTTCTCTATTCTGTTGTGAGGATGCCTTACCACTTTTTGAGAAAGTTTTATTGTAAGAAAGATCTCATTTGATAACATAGTTAGCTTATCAGTCAATTTTGACTTGATTGACCACATTAGCTATTTAACTTGGTTAACCGTTAATATAAGTGTTTGGTTAATAAGGTTTTTGTAACATATTATTATTTCAAAATGCTAACTTTTTCAATCAACTTTTTGAGAAAATAAACTATACCGTTAAATTAAAAGATATTTTGCATGTAATCAGGTATCAGTTAACATCTAATTTACCAAATATTTTGCTACAACCAGCTAATACTCTAACCTAGTCAGACCCGCTAACCCAATTCGCTAACAACTATTTTCCATACACCCCCAAAAACTTACTGCTCCTTTTAGACTTGTCTTATGGCCATCACTTGCGAACTGTTAGAGTCTTAATATATTTATGTGGCTATACTTAGTCATGCTTTTAGATAGCCTATAGTGTAGGAGTCATTTAGGTGTTCTCTTGTATTAAGACTCTCAATTGTAACAGTTTCAATCAATCAATCAATTACCGTTACTTCATCTGATATCAGCTTAGCGTTAGGTTCTCTCCGTATCCTACCGTAATCAACCGCCCATGTCGACTCACTCGTCGGAACGTACTGTCACTGCCGCCACCCTCTCCCCACCGACCACCACAAACTCACTCACCTCCGCTCTCTTTCATTGCCTAACATTTACTATTTTTGATCCTTTGTTGTGTATGGACGGTTTGATAATATTTTTACAAAGAAAACTTCGGGTCTTAATTTACTAACTTAAATTACGCATCATCAAAATCTAATTTGAAGTTTAATTTATTCCTAACACATATTCCATCTTTAATTTCTTTCTTTAACTTTTATTGCAAGTATTTGTCCCAAGGCAAACAATGATTGGTTAATTAATTAACTGATTTTTTTCCTCTCATTTTGTTGGGTAGAAGATTGGATAGTCAAGTTCAATATTTTATTATTGAAATGTGATACTATTTACTATGCAAGTATAATAATTATAAAAAAAAAAAAAAATCAACAACGACAATGAGGGTGTAATGAATTGTAATAAATTAATTGATAAATAAAGACAATATTAGATGTCATTGAAATATCATGTCACTCTATATGACATCAATCATTTAATAATACGTCAATTTAGTTTCCAGTCACTTGGTGAGTTGGTGATACTTTAATTAATAAAAAGAATAGAAAAAATAAATGTGATAATTTCAAAAAAAAAAAAAAAAACTACATATTTTCACTTGTGATAGTGGCTTTCATCTATTACAGACACACTACATTACATATATACAAAATGGAGTTAATTCACGAGCACGGGCTTAGCTCAATAGTTTAGTGGATAGTATTTAGAAAAGTGACCAAGGTTTGAATTTTAGTGGTGACAGTATGGGAATTATGTCCAACCCTGTTTGCTTACTCATTGAGTCACTGTGATTTACATGCTCTGTCTGGTTGGGGATTCAACCTTTTTGGGAGAAGAAAATGGAGTTAATTCCACCAAAAGGATCCTTGTTTTTTTTTTTCTTTTTTTTTTTTTTTGTAATAATTTCAAATTTAGTTCCAGACTATCGCTTTTGTCATTTAACATCCTAGACTATTATTTTTTGAACTATTATTTTTTGAACACTTTTAGTTATTCTCATGACTTTTCCTAATTTTAGTAAAGAGTATTTTTGTCTTTTCATATTGATGGTTTTATTGGGACCGGGTCCACCATAAACCGGGTATAGGAACATAGGACGGGGGGTAGGGCGCTAGGCCCAGAACAATGCTTACAAAAGCCCGAGGTACAGGCCCAGAATGGCAGCCCAATTACAAAGAACAAGGCCCACAGGATGGGCTATAGCGAACTATGCTACTGGTAGGAATCGAACCCAGGTGACTGGATTGAGAGTACAAGACCAAAACCACTAGACTGTAGTGCTTACCGTGTCTGAGTTGCCCCTTAGCCAAAGATCCAGGGCCCTTATTTATAGCAAGCCCCCCTCCTCCTCTGGCGTCCGCGTGTCCCACGTTGCTCCTCCCCCACTCCGCTTGTTTATCGCCATGCATGTCACGTCGCCACTATCCCCGCGACTCCCGCATCCTCCACCATGCACGCCGCACCTACCTCCCCACCTCAGTCGTACCTACCTACCCCCTCACGCCGTACCTACCCCCCTCATGCCGTACCTACCTCCCCCCTCACGCCGTACCTACCTCCCCCCTCACGTCGTACCTACCTCCCCCCCTCATATCGTACCTACCTACCCCCTCACGCCATACCTACCCCTCTCATGCCGTACCTACCTCCCCCCTCACGCCGTACCTACCTCCCCCCCCTCACGCCGTACCTACCTCCCCCCTCATATCGTACCTACCTACCCCCTCACGCCGTACCTACCCCCCTCATGCCGTACCTACCTCCCCCCTCACGTCGTACCTACCTCTCCCCCTCACGCCGTACCTACCTCCCCCCCTCATATCGTACTTACCTCCCCCTACCTCCCCCCTCACGTCGTACCTACCTCCCGCACCTACTTCCTCCCGCATTCCGGTCCATGTTCTTCACCCTGGCCCACCATGCGTGCTTGTCTTCCAAGCCCAACAAGACTTGGTCCAACCTCCTTCTTTCACCACCCCCACTTGGGTCAATACTTTCCCAATAAAATGGACCCCTAGGGTCCCATATCCCCATCACAAGTCCCCCACTTCTTTTAGGCATCTTGATGCCTAAAGGAAGTAGAATTCGGTACAACTACCTCCTTTCTTTCCCAAACTCAACCTCTAGTTCCCAAGCTTTCATGATATCCCCATCACAAGTCCCCCACTTCTTTTAGGTATCTTGATGCCTAAAAGAAGTAGAATTCGGTATCACCACCTCCCTTCTTTCCCTTTCTCAACCTCTCGCCGCCACCTTCCATTATCACCATTGTTGTGCGTCACGCCATTACTCCGTACCTCTGCCACACACACCGCATGTTGCCCTGGCCTTCGCTTCATCACCTAGTGTCGAGAGGTCAAGGTGACTCCTCTATTGTCACTTCTTGGATGCTTCTTGCACTATACATCTCTTTTGTTGCATTTATTTAGTATGCTTTGTCAATTTCTCCATGATGCACCTGCATGCTTCTTTTAAATATTCAATGGATGTCTTTGCTCCTTCTCCATGCTACAAATATTCAATGGATGTCTTTGCTCCTTCTCCATGCTACACCTGCATGCAACCTTCCTTTTTTTTTTTTTTTTTTTTTTTTTTTTTTTTTTTTTTCTTTTTTTTTAAGGATGAAGGTAACTGAAGATTGTAGGACGGGGTAGTGTGGGTTGCGATAACCCACACGCCCCCTCCGCCAACGCCATGCGGCTTGCCGGGGGCAAGTCCGCGCATGTGGGTTGCGATAACCCACACGCCCCATCCGCCAACGCCATGCGGCTTGCCGGTGGCAAGTCCGCGCATGTGGGTTGCGATAACCCACACGCCCCATTCGCCAAAAACCATGCGGCTTGCCGAGGGCAAGTCCGCGCATGTGGGTTGCGATAACCCACATGCCCCATCCGCCAAAACCATGCGGCTTGCCGGGGGCAAGTTCGCGCATGTGGGTTGCGATAACCCACACGCCCCATCCGCCAAAAACCATGCGGCTTACCGGGGGCAAGTCCGCGCATGTGGGTTGCGATAACCCACATGCCCCATCCGCCAAAACCATGCGGCTTGCCGGGGGCAAGTCCGCGCATGTGGGTTGCGGTAACCCACATGCCCCATCCGCCAAAACCATGCGGCTTGCCAGGGGCAAGTCCGCGCATGTGGGTTGCGATAACCCACATGCCCCATCCGCCATGGCCGTAGAGCCAGCATGCATAGCACGTAAGAGCACATAGGAGCACATAGTTGAGGTGGCCGTAGGCCAAGCATGCAGAGCACATAGGAGCACATGGTTGAGGTGGCCGTGGGCTAAGCATGCAGAGCGCATAGTTGAGGTGGCCGCGGGCCAAGCATGCAGACACATATGAGCATATAGTTGAGGTGGCCGCGAGCCAAGCATGCAGAACACATATGAGCATATAGTTGAGGTGGCCGTGGCCAAGCATGCAGAGCACATAGGAGCACATAGGGGCACATAGTTCGGGAAAATAAACACAATCTTTACCTAACTAAGTGTTCAAGTGTACTCACCAGAGTAGCGTCTCGATGTGCTAAGTGTGTTACCTTATAGGGTAGCTCCTCTTGCGAATCAACCATTTGGGCGTACCTCGGAACCTTGCTAGGATGGTAGAGACTACAAACACGGGCTAGCGATCCCCACAGACGGTGCCAATGATGGTTTTATTGGGACCGAGTCCACCATAAACCGGGTATAGGAACATAGGACGGGGGGTAGGGCGCTACGCCCAGAACAATGCGTACAAAAGCCCGAGGTACAGGCCCAGAATGGCAGCCCAATTACAAAGAACAAGGCCCACAGGATGGGCTATAGCGAACTATGCTACTGGTAGGAATCGAACCCAGGTGACTAGATTGAGAGTACAAGACCAAAACCACTAGACTGTAGTGCTTATCGTGTCTGAGTTGCCCCTTAGCCAAAGATCCAGGG